GTACCAGAGTCTTTGGTGTGCTGGGGAGCCCTCTCCTTTCAGGGCATGGTTGGCCTGCAGGCCACTCCTTGAATGAAAATACTTGCTTGTCACTTCGGAGGAGCTTTGAATGCTACAAGTCATGTGACAGCTGGTCTCTTTTGTGCCTATGACCCTCATAACTAATGAGCTTTGTTGGCTTGGCTGCCAGCAGAAGGGTGCCTGCTGCCATGGCACACTGTGGGGAGCTGGCAGTCAGCAGGTGTGAGGGTGGCCAGGAGTCCTGCACCTGTCCCAGGTGGGTGCCCAGTCTCACAAACACCTCTCTGCAGGGGCAGAAGCGCCTGGTGCTCTCTGAAAGCTGTTCCCGGGACTCGATGAGCAGCCAGCCCAGCTGTACAGTGCTCAACTACTCGTATGGTGTGAATGCCTGGAAGTCCTGGGTACAAGCCAAGTATGCAGGGGGAGAAACCAGCAAGGGAGAGGAGCTACGTTTCGGCCGTAAGTGCCTTGTCTGGATGCAGTGCAGTGGCAGAAACCTCCCAGAAGCTGCACCTTGGGGTGTTGAGGTATTCCTGATCTTGTAGGCTGTTGTCTGAGGCTGATGTGCTTGTCTCTGCAGCCAAGCCCATGAGGATCAAGGAAGACATCTTAGCCTGCTCAGCAGCTGAGCTCAACTACGGCCTGGCACAGTTTGTCAAGGAGATAACGCGGCCCAACGGGGAGCGCTATGAACCAGACAGCATCTATTACCTCTGCCTTGGCATCCAGCAGGTGAGGGAGGCCTGTTGCCCCCATCCTCTACAGCCAGACTGGGACTCAGATCTGGTGAGGGGAGCTTGTACCCTCAATTCTGCCTTCTGGGGACCCAGAGAGGCTGGCTGGACTCTCCTTTGGTGCCTCAGCCCAGGACAGCATCCCACCTGGTTTAGTCTTTGTTCCCAAGCTGAGAATAGGGTGGCATCCATTCCCCAGCCTTGTACCCTTCTTGCACATCTCTGAGGAGGGGCTGGGGCATCTCCCCAGACTCAGGCCCTTCTTCAGCACTAAGTCTGCTTTGTCGTGCCCCAAGGTTTTCTTTGCAGCTCTCTGTGTCTTCCCAGCAGCTCTGGTGGTGCAAGGAGGGGTGCTCTGCATATGTGCCCTGGGCTCTCTGGGGAGGGTTTGCATTCCAGGTGCTGCTGTTTCTCTTGACTGTGTGTTCTGTCCTTTCTAGTACCTGCTCGAGAACAATCGTATGGTGAATATATTTACAGACCTTTACTACCTGACCTTCGTGCAGGAGCTGAACAAATCTCTGAGTGGTTGGCAACCCACAATCTTACCAAATAGTACGTGTCTTCAGAGTACCTTCAGTCCCCATAAATCCAGTTTGTGCTTGTAGCCTTGGATCCTCTGGCCTGATTATGCTCCCCCAGCTTCAACCTTGGCATAGGCAGCACAGTCCTGCTGTGTGTTGAGGTCATACTGACCCAAACCAACTGCAGAGCCAGCATGGTTTATGCTTCAGCTGCTTCTGTTGCCCACAGTCAGGGTAGCTGGGAGCAGAGCACTTTGTATCCTGGGACAATTTGAATCTTTACAACACTTCACAGTGATGTCTCCAGCTTTGGCAAGGAGAATGCCAAGCCAGGAGGCACACTGGTGCATGTGTTTGCATTCCCAACACATGGATAAGCCCTGCACATGATGCTAGGCCTTGGCCAAGGTTGCTGTGCTGCTGCCTTGTGAATAGGCTAACCTAGAGCTCTGCAGAGGCTTTTCTTGTTGCTGTGATCTGGGCTGCCTTCCCTGCTGTGTCTTGTCAGTAGTTATTTCATAGATCCAGCCTCATCTCTGCAGATTGGCTATCCCAGGCAGAGCCATTTGACTCCAGACCTGTGTATCTAGGCAGGAGCTAGCCAGATCTCTCCTGCCTGCTGCTTTTCCCTAATCACTCACTGAGGGTGGTGGAGCACTGACCTGGAGTTCACTTTTTGGCCATCTGTAGTGATGAGCAGTTAGGATTGATTTGGGTTCTCACCTGGGGTTTGGCTGTGATCTGGGGAGGCTTATGGCTGGGCAGAGCTCTAGCTCTGCTCATGGCTCAGGAGAAAAAACCTTGTGGAAAAAGAGATGCTGTGAAGCATCACTCTGTTTTGCAGTGAGCTTGCAGAGGCAGGGTGAAGGGATTGCCCCAAAGCCACTGCTGATGTGACCTGGTTCTCCCTCTGTGTGTTGCAGACACAGTTTTCTCCCGTGTCGAGGAGGAGCACCTCTGGGAGTGCAAACAGCTGGGTGTTTACTCACCCTTTGTGCTTCTCAACACCCTCATGTTCTTCAACACCAAGTTCTTTGGGCTGCAGACAGCAGAGGAGCACATGCAGCTCTCCTTCACCAACGTGGTGCGCCAGTCCCGCAAGTGCACCACAGCCCGTGGCATGACCAAGGTGGTGAGCATCCGCTACTACGCTCCTGCCAAGCAGAAGAAAAGCCGAGGTGGGTCTGGGGGAACATCTCTGTTCCTCCCCCTGCATCCCCCATCAGGACCCAGCCATGATCCAGCTCCTCTCCCTGTCTGCAGATGGTGGCTCTGGAAAACGGAAGCGTGAGGAGGAGGTACCGATGCTGGAGCAGCGGGAGAACAGGATGAATCCCCTCCGATGCCCAGTCAAGTTTTATGAGTTTTATCTCTCCAAATGGTGAGGCTTTCTCTGGAGAAGAGGCATGTGCCACTTGGGGCCACTTTTTAGTTTTGATGGAACCTGTGGAGTGACTGCTGCTCTCCAGACATTTGTACAGAGCATGCAGTCTTGCCCAGGCTCTGTGCTGCTTCACTAGACCAAGTTTGAGAGAATGCTTCTCTCTGGCCTCTTCCACTTCCTGCCCTTCTCCAGACTGGCAGGAATGTGCAGTAGGAGTCCAGTGCTTGGGTGGTTGGGGGTTTTGGCCTTGAACAAGGAGCTGTAGGCTGAGTTTGTGTCCTTACCCTACCGAATGATGAGAGGCTGTGATGAGCTGTGAACACCCCTTGCTAAACACATCAGGCCAGGCTCTCTGAGCCCCTGCAGGCAGCAGGCAGCCCAGGTCTCACCCTGCTGTCTCTCCACAGTCCCGAGAGCCTGAGGAACCGCAGCGACGTGTTCTACCTGCAGCCCGAGCGCTCGTGCATCGCCGAGTCCCCGCTCTGGTACTCGGTGATCCCCATGGACCGCAGCATGCTGGAGAGCATGCTGAACCGCATCCTGGCCGTCAGGGAGATCTACGAGGAGCACAGCCGCCTCAGCAGCCTGGAGGACGACGTGGACTAAGGCAGAGGTGCTGCTGGACTGGCTGCACTCCAGCCCTGGACACCTCATCTTGCTGCTTCCCATTGCAGGGCAGGGGCCATGCAGTATAGGAAGGGATGGTGCTGCAGCAGTGCTGTCCCTGCATCATTACCAGACTTGGACCTCCCATCCTGCTCCTTACAGGCATCCCCTACGTACGTGGCCCCCACACTCAGCTCTGTCTCCAGTTTTGGCTGCTGGGTGAGCCATCTTCCCCAGGGTCTGTTCCCATGGCACAGGAGTGGCAGAGTCCCTGGTGCAGCTCCCCTTGCCCAGCCCTCCCCTCCCCTCCCCCCAGGCCTGCCACTACCCCTCTCTCCCCATGCCCCAGGGCAGGAATTGCACAAAACACATTGCCCCATTGGACCAGTGGCCCCCAAAGCTTTTACTTCCCTCTTCCTTTAGCATTCCCTCACAAGGCTTGAGGTATCAAGGCAGAAACAGTAGCTCTGCTGCTGGGGCAGGATTGTCTTTTCAAGCCAGTAGGCATGGGCCACAGGCAGCCTGAGAGCTGTTGGGTCAGGGGGAGAACTTTTATCCTGGGGTAAGAGAGATTTGGGTTGGTTGCAGGAAGTGGATAGAGCTTGCACTGGAATTTGTGGGCAGAGATCTGGCCTTGCCACAGGGATACCTCCCTTGTGTGCAGCCAGGATGCCTCCCTCTCTTTGGTCAATGTTTTCTGAGTTTGCTGAAAACTGATGGAGATGGGTCTGTACTAGTGCTGCCCCTCTCTCCCCACTGTTCCCTGTCTTGGTGTAAGGACCTTCCCCTGTGCAAGGTGCCATCAGTGGAAACCTCTGCTCCAGCCAGGGGCCCAGGCATTTGCTGGCAGAAGCAGGGAGCCCTGCCTGGCCTCCCCCTCCCTCCCACAGCCACAGGCTGCCACCACCCTGCCCAGGGTAAGTCTGGCTCCAGCTGTGCCACTCTGTGCTGCCTCCTGCCCCTTCTCGTGTTCTGGTTGGTTTTCTTGAGCTGTACATGGGTCTCCTGTTGAGCCTGTATATATTGTTCTGGGCCCTGGCCTGGGGCCATCTGTTCTCTGTGTCCATGTGGAGAGTGAGCTGCTCACCAGTCTTGTTGTAGTGATGCCAGGGCAGTAGGACTAACCCTGTGTCTCTGGAAACCATTCATTTCAAATAAAGATGTGGAAAACTTTGGCAGCCCCTGGTTTTTCCCCGTGGGCAGGGTGAGCATTGTAGAACAGAGCCAGTGTCCCTGTGCTGCTGTGCACCTTGCTCCTGTCCATCCCAGCCTGTGCTCCCTGCACTTCCTACCTTGCCTGGGCCCTGCTGTCCTGCCAGCTCTGCAATGTGCTGATAGCCTCTGCCCCAGTGCCCACTGGTGCCAGCATGGCATGCCCTGCCTGTCCCTGCCCTGCCCTCGGCCCACAGTGCAGCAGCCCCACCCAAGCCAGCAGTGGCCCTGCCCTGGCCATGCAGTGTGTCCGTAGGATGGAGCAGCTGGAGAGCAATGCCACAGTTCCTGTGAGCAGAGCAGGACTCAAGTGAGGTGCAGTAAATGTTTATTTTCTCCCCCTTCCAAGCTCTACTCTCAGCTCTGCTGCTCCCAGGAGTGGCAGGAGCAGCTGAGTAGTGTCCCCAAGGCTGTTCCCAGCCCTCCATGCCTTGGGCCTGGCGGAGACTGGACACACAATCACCACTGTGACCACCCACCCACGCATTGCCCATCCCTGACCATCCCAGCAGGCCACGTTTACACTGCCAGGTCTGCTGCTCGCATGTCCCTGTGGGACCCACCAGCCACCCCGAGCCATGCACCTGCCTTCTTCAGCGGTGCCAGGCCATGGGGGGGACTGCCACCCCTGGGCAGAGTGACATAGGTGCTGCCAGGCCCTACAGGCCCACCAGGAGCGGTCAGGATGTGGGACTTGGGGCCTGGCCCTCGACGGCACTTGGTGAGACCCAGGTGGTAGATCTCCACCAGGTTGAGCAGCAGGGACACGCAGGCCACCCCCAGCATGAAGAGGATGAAGATGGTCTTCTCAGTGGGCCGGGAGATGTAGCAGTTGACTGTGTTGGGGCAGGGCCAGCGGCTGCAGGTGTAGAGGGGCTTCAGCTGGAACCCATACAAGGCGTACTGGCCCACAATGAAGCCCACTTCCAGGAGAGCCTTGAAGACAATGTTGCAGATGTAGGTCCTCAGGATGGCCCCCCGCATGCACACCCGTGCCCTCCTGTTCCCTGAAGGGAGCTGGGGCTGCCTGGGGCGCTGCCGCCTGGCCCCGCTGCCGGCCAGTGCTGCCGTTTGCTGCTGTGCCTTCTCCTCCAGATGCACCAGGTGCAGGATGTGCCCCAGATACACGAGGCTGGGGGTGGAGACAAAGATGATCTGCAGCACCCAGAAACGGAGGTGGGAGATGGGGAAGGTGCTGTCATAGCAGGCATTTTGGCAGCCGGGCTGCTGTGTGTCACAGGAGAAGCCAGACAGCTCGTCACCCCAGACCCGCTCCGCGGCTGCCCCCAGCACCAGGATGCGGAAGACGAAGAGGACGGTGAGCCAGACCTTCCCCACCACCGTGGAGTGCTCCTGGGCATTCTCCAGCAGCCGGCCCAGCAGGCTCCAGTCCCCCATGGCACGTGCTGTGGTGCCCTGCAAGACAGCCACCCTCCAGACACAGCCACCCCACAACCCACCAAAACGCCGCCCCACTCCCTGGCCAAGGAGGTGTACACAAGACCCAGCTCAAGGCTGTCCTTGGAGTGTCCCCATCCTGCATCCCAGGGGACCCCCTAACCTGCCACAAGGAGATCAAGGGGAGCAAAGGCCTCCAGCAGAGAGCTGGGAGCACCATGGGGAACAACCGCGGTGGCAGCATGGGGACCTCTCACCGTAGACGGTGCGTGGGGCAGAGCCCGGTGCTCCTGTGCCGTCCCCTCCTGTCACGGGGGTGATGGGGGATGCTGCGAGGCCCCTTCCCAGCCGGTCCCCAGCTCCTCTGTGGGGTGCAGACAGGTCTGCCTGCTCTGTCTGTCCGGTCACCCAACAGCAAGCATGGGGTTATTGGGGCATGAGGCAGCTGCGTGCCCCATTGGCTTTCATTGTGACTGGCACATCAAACAGCCACTGGGGAAACTTTTTCCCTCTATTTTTGGTCTGGGCACTTTTCTAATTATATTCGGGGCTGCAGGGGCTGGTGCTGGGGGAGTGCAAGCCCTTGGACACTGATCAATGCCACCCAGGGGTCACTGGCCGCTGCTGGCTGTCAGGGCAACACAGCCACAGCCCCAGCTCAGCCCTGGCACTGCAGCCCCCACAGCCCCTCGTGGCACCCGCCAGGGCTTGGGTGCAGGGATGGACACCCCACACTGGCACCCCAGCTCCCAGCATATCACGGCCAGAGCAGAAAGGAGGGAGGCAGCACCTGAGAATGGAGATTTAATGGCCCAAGATGCCCTCCTGGCCATCTAGGAGAGCCACACTCATGCCTGAGGGATGCCATCCTTGGGACAGGGACAGTAACAGGCCCATGGGGTGACTCTGCCCTAGCAGGCAGAGCAGCGGTCACCCTTCTCCTGCAGCCCAGAGTTGCGGCGCAGCATGTCCTTGAGGGAACCGTCCTGCTCTGTCAGCAGCTGGTTGATCTCGTTCTGCTTGTACTCAGAGGAATGCTTGTGCCCGTAGAAGGAGCCCTTCGCCGACGAGGGGTTGGAGTGGTGCTGGCTTCGGCGGGCACAGGCCCGCACCACCAGGTAGACCAGCTCTGCCATGTTGAGGATGATGCAGACACTGGAGGTGACCAGCATGAAGACAGTGAAGATGGTCTTCTCAGTGGGCCGGGAGATGAAGCAGTCGACAGTGTTGGGGCAGGGGTAAGCCTCGCACTTTACCAGCCGCATCATCTGGTAGCCTGGGTAGAGCATGTAGAAGATGTACATGAACACGGCCTCGAAGAGCAGCCTGAAGACCACGCTGCAGACGTATGTCCACCACAGCGATCCCGCTATGCGCATCTTGTGCTTCTTGACCTCTTCCATGTGCTTGGCATCCGCGTGCCCGGTCATCACCAGCAGCTTCTTCTCCTGGTGCTGCTGGTAGGCCACGTGCATTGCCACGAGAAGGGCTGGCGTGGTGACGAGGATGAGCTGCAGCGCCCACAGGCGGATGTGGGAGATGGGGAAGAAGTGGTCATAGCAGACGCTGTTGCAGCCAGGCTGCTGGGTGTTGCAGGTGAAGGCAGATTTCTCATCCCCCCAAACGCTCTCGGCTGCCACCACTAACACCATTATCCGGAAGATGAAGATGACAGAGAGCCAGATGCGCCCGATGGCGGTGGAGTGGCGGTTCACCCCGCTCAGCACCGTGTACAGCCCGGCCCAATTCATCGTTTCTCACGTCTGCAGGAGAGAGCAGTGAGGGATGGTGTTAGGAGCAGGAAGGACCCCTGGCTGAGAGCCAGCAGAGCAGGTCCGGGCTCCAGTGGCAGCAGCCCCAGGAGGGACCTGGGAGCAACTGGGTGGCAGCCCTGATGGGTGGAGAGCAGGATCGACAGACAGGAGGATGGCAGCGTGGCTCCTGCTCCAGGCAGCATTTTGGCCAGAGCAGGCGGGAGACTGGCTGCCCCAGCAGTGCCAGATTCTCCAGTCCTGCCACCCCACGCTGGCACAGGGATTCTAACCCACAGCTGCCACAGAGAATGAGGGTGAAGCTCCTACACCTTCTCAGGGACCCCCAGTACCCAGTGCTGAGCTCTTTGGCTAGGAATGGTCCCAAGGAGCTTCATGGGCTCCACTGCACCAGTGCCTCCCTTCGTCCTCCCATTATCTGCAGGAGCGTGGCCAGAGAGCCCTGAGCTGGGGCAATCCCCCCGTGCAGCCCTGCACTGCCACCCTCCCAGGGCCATCCTGGCCTGGGGAACACAGGGCGACCCCACCCGCAGGCCAGACCCCTGCCCCACCAGAGTTCCCCACGGACACTGAGCAGCCCCGGGAGCTGCTTCCCACCCCGGCAGGAGTCTGGGTGGCCGGCACCAGCCACCCCCCAGTGTGGAGGATCCTAGCGACGCGTACCTGCCGGTGAGGAAAGGTCCTCGCAAGCTGCCCCCAGTGGCCCCTCTAAGGTCTCATGCCTCCCGCAGGAGAGCTCTGCTCCGCCTGCCCTCGTCTCTCTCTGCCACTGCCCTGCACTGGAAGTCATATGCTGCTTTATAAACTATTTGCATACAATGGGGCCTTTATCGGCCCATGAACAACACACTTTAGCATTCAGATCTAACGCCCTGACTTCCGCCCACCCTGGCCAAACAAAGTGCCTGTGTGCTGCATTCCCGCTGCTCGGCCCTGCACCCACTCCCACCTCCCCACCACGCCCCGCACCGACCCCGGACACGGCCCCGCCACCCGCGGGCTGCTCGTGGCTCTGCCCGGCGGGACCCACGCCACAGACAGACATCGCCGGGCCGGACAGGCCACCCAGCGTGTCCGGAGGTCCCTAGCCCAGGAAGCATGGCCGAGCGTGCCCATCCCGCATGGACGGCACAGGGCGCTGGAGCAGGGGTCTGCACTGAGCTGCCGCGGGGCAGGGTGGCACTGGGCCCTGCCATCCCCTCAAGGCTCTGGTGCCAGCAGCAGCGTCTGTGAAGGCACCGGAGCTGCCCCACGCGTGCCGTCGGAGACGTGGGAGAAAGGGCGGCGGAGAGAAGCTGCTGTGCGCTGGGGCTGCCCTCCTCCCCCGAGAGGGACTCACCGACGGTGTCCTACTGCTCGGACATGCGGCTGGGGACAACAATCCCTGTGCTCGCACAGCCCCCGTGCCCCCAAGGCTGGTATCCCAGCCACACCGTCACACTGTGCCCCATCCCTGCAGGGATGGCGCCGTGTCCCAGGGGTTTTGTCCCCAGCCTCAGGTGGGGAGCAGCGTACCCAGTAAACCCTCCCAGCTGGGTCCCTGCAGGTTGGCAGGGCAGTCAATGCCATCCCAAATGCCACCTCCATCCCTTAGCCCAAGGTGCGAGCAGCCGGAGCTGTGCAAGCGGTGGCAGCCAAAGACCGTCCAGCAAAGCTGTGAGGACGCCGCTTGTGCCCTCAGTGCCCCTTCCCCACTCCCGCCATGAGGACCAGCATTGCCGGCTCTCCTCTCCCAGGGCCGAGCCCTGCCTGTGGTCCCCATTGTAGCCCCCCTGGTGCTCCCCAGCTGGGGGACATGCGGCCACCCCCGGAACGGTGCTGTGCCCGCCAGCTTCTCACCTCAACAACAGGACAATCAATCAATGCTGTTCGGGATTGCAGCAATCAGTCTGCACCGCACCACCCGCCTGGACTTTATACTGCCCTGAAAGCACGCCACCCCCGCCTCCCAAACAGCCTTGCTCCTTCCACGACTCGCCGAGTAAACACCGCAGGTGTGTCCAGCCAGGCTCACACCCACCCGCACCCACCAGCGGCTGAGCATCCCCCGGCGCCAGCCCCCGGGCTACTGCAGCACCGGGGCAGGGCCGGCCCCCCAGGATGGTCCCCGGGGACATTTCTGGTCGCCGTGGCCCCACTCCCCTGCTGTGAGCATCCTCCCCGCTGCATTCCTTGCAAGCCACACACATGCACGGTGGAGGAGCCCTGCTCTCCACCCGGGTGATGACTCTGGGTACCCCCAGCTCTCGGAGCACCTTGATCTGGTGCTTCAGGCTGCCGGCTGGCCCCCGGGGAGCCACCAATACCCAGATTTAATGTGTAAAAGTGCAGATGGGGAAAGGCAAACAGCCGGTCAACGATTAACTCGGCTGGCCCGCTTCAAGGTCCCGCCGCCCAGCACCCCGTGTGGGACACGGCGACCCTGCCGCTCATCCTGGGCCCCTGGCCGGGCTGCAGGAGCCCGCACGCCGTCCCTTGTATGGGGGTGACAGTGGTGCCGGTGTCCCCGCATGGGGACGGCAGGGTGGCACCGTGCAGCGGCTGGGGCCGCTCGGGGCGCCCGCACAGCGGGGCGGGGGTCGGTGGGCAGTGAGATAGCGGCGGTGGCTGATGTGGGCAGGGCTGGCTGGGGCCATCGGGGCCACAATCTCAGCCTCTGATAATCCGCCACACCTGAGTCAGCAGTGCCGGCGAGTTGCTGCAGCGGCGGCACCGCCCGGTCCTGCACCCCGGGCGGGTTCTGGGGGTTAATGCAGGGCACACTGGGGCAGCAAGGGGCTACTGGGGCCCGGCTGGAGAGATCGGGCTGGGGGGGTCACTGGGGGCCATCAAGAGGAGGGCAGACTGCTGAGCACTGGGCTGGGCTGAGCTAAGTGGGACGAGGCACAATGGGAGGCTGGCATGGGGAGAAGGGTCCCTGGGAGCCAGGACAAGAGTCTTACTGCAGGGCTCTGGGAGCCAGGCGGGAGGGCACTGGGGATTACTGGGAGCCAGGATAGGGGTGGCTGGGGGGCACTGGGAGCCAGGACAGGGGTGGCTGAGGAGCACTGGGAGCCAGGCGAGGGGCGACTGGGGGCGTTAGGAGCTAGGCGAGGGGTGAATGGGGATTACTAGGAGCAGGATGAGGGGTGACTGGGGGGCGTTGGGAGCCAGGATAGGGGTGACTGGGGGGCGTTAGGAGCCAGTTGAGGGGTGAATGGGGATTACTGGGAGCCGGATGAGGGGTGGATGGGGATTACTGGGAGCCAGTTGAGGGGTGAATGGGGGTTACTGGGAGCCGGATGAGGGGTGGATGGGGATTACTGGGAGCCGGTTGAGGGGTGGATGGGCATTACTGGGAGGCAGCTGAAGGGTGAATGGGGATTACTGGGAGCCGGTCGAGGGGTGGATGGGCATTACTGGGAGCCGGTCGAGGGGTCGCCGGGGGGCTCGGGCCGTGCGGCGGGGGTGTCGCCAGGTGGCGCTGCGGGGCCGGGCCGGGGGCGGCGGGGCCGCACCTGCCCGCGGCAGCACCGCTGGGGCTCAGCGCGGGAATCCGTCTAAAATGTAGTAAAAATGGAGAAAAAAACAACCGGAAAGAGGAGGAGGAACCCGGGGCGTTGCTGCCCAGCCCTGTGCCCGCCCGCTGTCCTTGCAGGGAGTTGGCTGGGAGGAGCAGAGGTCCCGGAGCGCAGGCAGTCCCCTCGCTGCTGGCCCCAGGTTGAACTGCAGCAGCCGTCGGGGAAGGACAGGCTGTACTGAACAGCGGCCGGCGCTGCCTCCAGTACCCAGAAAACTGCCCCGCCCGCGGCCACGCGGGCCAGAAATGCGCTTCTTGTTAATGACGCTAATTGTGGAGGTAATTGGTGTCTGGAGTTGCAGCGGAAGAGTTCAAAGACGTGGGCACGTCTAACGCAGATAAGCTGATGAGATGGGCAGGACTGAGTCAGCATGAGGATGGTGGGACAGACGTGACGCAGCAGCTGGCATTCTCGTAGGGTCAGAGAACTTGCAGCCCAGCAGTCTGTATGGGTACGATGGACGAAATCAAGCTTGAACTATCACTGAAACATCTCCACTGTCAGGAAGACTGCAGAGGAGGCTTCCAGAGTCTCCTTTCCCCAGCCATTCTGCTCCAGGCAGGGCTCAGCCTCGTCACTGGATGGCCACTGCAGTGCAGGGGCTGCTGGGTTCCAGGCTTGGACTGGCAGCAGGACAGGCATCCCTGGATCCAGGCTGCTGTTCTCAGAGAGACAAAACCCTCAGCTCTGAGTCAACTGCCAGGAAGGTCACTGGCAGTGGGTGAGCACAGAAATCCTTTGTGCTGCTGCAGCACAGGGCAGAGGGGGTTGCAGCCTAAGACTTAACAGCTTGTTCTGCCTGCCTGTGAGTCTGCTCTCCTGTGTCCTGGGTGCATCAGAGGTGTGGGGAACAGCACCAGGGCACTATCCCAGTGATGCTACTGTGAAGATGTCCTGGTTTGAGAGGAACTGGGTTTTTTGGGATGCTGTGGTCAGCTGAGGTTTCAACTGTGTTTCCAGGGGAAAGCCTATGGTACAAGAGGGACTCCTCCCTTCCTTGATGAACTGAGAATTGATTATCTAAAGGGTGGTGATGGACTGAGAGTTGGTGATCTGAGGGGTGGATGTATGGAAATTTGGTGGGGGGAGGAGGAATGTTTTTTGAAAGGTTTTCATTCCGAGTTCTCTGTGTGTTTCTCTTTATATATAGTTGTAGGTTAATAAAGTTTTTTCTTCTTTATTCCTAAGTTGGAGCCTGCTTTGCTCTATTGGTCACATCTCACAGCAGACACCAGAGAGCATACATTTTCATGGGGGCACTGGCATTGTGCCAGCGTCAAACCGTGACAGAAGAGCAGCATCCCTGCCCTCCTGCTGGCTGTGAATCCTCAAGCAGCCAGAGTCCAGCCACAGATCACTCACTCACTCCCTCCCATGCCAGGGACACCTTTGCAGTTGAGTTCCCTTATGGTTCTCCTTGCCAACAGCCCTAAACATGTCCCCTGAAGCAGAGGATGTCCCACAGTTGTCACGCAGATGTAAAGTGTTCATACCCTCTGGGATACAGTGTCCCTTGAGCTTTGCCAGGTCTCCAAAGGAAAACTGTTGATGGTCAAGGACACCCTGGACAGATGGCAGCCTCAGGAGTTTTGCAAAGGCAGTAGCATAATAGCACTGGGTTGTCTGTCACCAGCTTGCCTCGGGGTCCTAGCTTGGGTTGGCCACGCTGGCACATGTGGCAGCGTGCAGCTGGGGCTGTGCAAGGATGGGGAGAGGGGACAGAAGGGCAGGGCGATCCCCTAATCTGGGGCAGAAAGGCATCACGCCTTCAAGAGGGCACTGGGCACTCTGTGGGATGCCACAATGGGCAGCACCAGGGCTTTTAGGGGGGTCCAGCACAGGGTCTGGAGCATGGTGCTGGACAGGGTGACATGTGCCCGTGGCACTGGAGCTGCCAAGGTCCCCCGTGGGGAGAAGGGCAGAGCCCCACACTCAGCTTCCTCATAGCCTGTGCCCCTGCCTGCCCCGGCTCCCCTGGCTCGGGGCCTCGGCCCTGGCTCCAGTGTCTGCGCGCTGCCTGGAGGCAATTCAGCCCCCCCACTCCGTTCCTGGTTTCCATGGCAACTCCAGTTGAAATTACATTAAAAAGAAATGAAACCAGCAGCTTTTCTCTTTGGCAAATAGGGGGAGGGGAGCTCAGCTGGGAAAGGCTGGGGAAGGGGTTTGAAGTTCGGAGGGAGGGGGCTGTGGGACAGATGCATTCCCACTTGGGGCCCCAGTGCTGGGGGCAGCAGGGCTGGGGGGATTTGGGGACACCCCCCACTGTGGCACACGGTGTTGGCAGTCCCGGATGCTACGGTGCCAGCTTGCATGTGGGGGTCCAGCGCCCTGACATGGGGGGTGATACCAGGGTCCCCCTGCTGCCTCTGTCGAGGGGTACCAGGGACATGGGGACCAGCACAGGGCACCCCACCCACCCAGCCCGGTAATCCCCCGGCCCTGCATGCTCCAAGAAGAGGCGAGACACACCGCTATTAAAAATATCACTTCTGTTTTATTTGGAATTTGTTACTCTGCGCGGGTGACAGGGTATAAATACATTCTCCAACGAGCATCCTCACCCTCAGCCCTGCGTGGGGCGGGGGCCGGGGCGGGGTGCGGGGCCGTTGTTGTGCTGGCCCCGGGCAGCAGGGCCAGCAGGGCCAGCAGGGCCATCGATGCGCTGGCCCCGGGCAGCAGGGCCAGCCGGCACCGGTGCGTCACGGCCGCCAGCACGGGCAGCGTCTGCCAGCCGGACCGTCTTGCACAGGGACAAGATATGGTGTCCCTACAAGGACCTGTCCCTTTCTCCTGCCTCCCCAGGCCCCCAGGTGCTAGGGCTCACCTTGGGGGGCTGAGACCGGGGTACCCCACCTGGGATCCCCTGCAGCTCCTTCTCCATGCCCGCACCACACCAAAGCCACTTGTCTAGAGCCACGTGTGGCTTGGTGGCCACAGCAGATGCCCCAGCCCCAGCACAGGTTGGCTCCCAGCCCCACACAGGCTGCATCACCCCCAGAGTCCCTACCCAGGCATCTGTTCCAGCTGCATCCTGGATGCCGGAGCTGGGGTCACTCCACAGTGGGGTAAAGGCCCCAGTGGAAGCAGTCTAGGAGGCAGAGGTGATGCTGCTGAGCAGCTCACCCTGCTCCTGTCGCCCCGCTCCTGCCGCAGGCTGCAAACCACCGGCTCTGCTTTCGGGCAACAAGCACGGGCAGGGAGGGCACAGCACAGCCCTGGGGCAATGGTGAAGGGATGTGGGATGCTCCTGGGGGAGCAGGGCAGGGTGGGGAGCATGAGGGGCTGTCCTGGGTTCATGGGAGTGAACAGACAGTGCTCGGAGCAGGTGATGCCCACAGGGGCGGTGGGTGGCACTGGCCAGTGGTGGCGGTGAGGGACCGGGGCGGGGGTGCTCGCAGGCAGGCCGTTGGATAGGCTTTTTGGCTGAGATACGTGGGCACGGGTGACAGAGGAGGGAGAATATCAAAAAATACAAAAGAGCGCAGCCCCACAGTGCAGGAGGCACTGCCCTGCCTGGTGCCCACCCACAGCAGGCGGGCGCCATGGGGGGCTGGCACCGTGCGCACACGCTGGCTTCTAACTGGCTTTTTATTTTATATCAAGAACACTTGGTTTTAAAATCTTTACAAAGGACAAAACGCGGCGACTCCGTTAGTGTGTAAAGAACTAAAGATCTGCTTAAAAAACGTCTCTGCAAAGAGAAATGACTGACACAAAAGAGATTCTCTGCAGCGCAAAGAGGGGCAGAGGTGCCAAGTCTCCAGCCCAGGGCCCCGCTCCCAGGGTCCCTGAGCCCCGGCACCAGCCCCAGCGCCCGCATCCAGCACAAGGCCAGGTCCCTGGACTCTGCCCATTCCCTCTGCCTATAGCACCATGGCCTGGGGCCACTTCTCAGCACAGTGAAGGAGCCTTTTCCAGGGCTGCCAAGATGCCTGGGGATGTCTGGGCACCGGCTGAGAGGGATGCCTGGTCCTGCTCCTCATCAGTCCCAGGGTGCTCGGTGGGCTCAGCACTGGAGATGCGATCGCCCCACTGGGAGGCACAGCCACAGCACCGGGAACCCCGTGGCCACTGACAGTGGGGTACGCCTGCCCACCTGCACGGGTGGGTTGTGCAGGACTACACCGTGTCCCTCCTGCACCCCACTGGCGTCCCGGGGCAACCCACGGGGCCCTGAGGCCAGGAGAGTCAAAGCACTTCTCAAAAGTTAGATAGGAACAAAAGAAAGCGCCGGGGCCGCTCTGGGACCCCCACAGGTCTCTGGGCTGGGAGCTGCACCGTCCGTGGGCGCTGCCCCTCTGTCTGGGGGCTCTGCGGGCCCCGCCGGTCCCTCTGCCAGTGTCTGCTGCGTGTGTGTGCGTGCGTGCATGCGTGTGCGCCGGCGGCGGGCAGCTATACCCTGGTGGTGGAGTGTGAGTGCGGAAGCCCCGTGCTGTTGAAGCCGGCGGTGAAGGTGTTGTAGGGGTGCAGGGTCTGCAGCCCCACCAGCGAGTTGGGGATCATGGTGATGGTGTTGGGGGTCATAAGCGGGATGTCGTCCGGAGAGCGGCGCAAGGTGAGGGTGTAGTCGGGCAGAGCGGCCAGGCGCAGGGTGTCGTGGGATGGCACAGCTTCGCACTCGTGGTGCCCCTGGCTCACCTGCAAGGAGGGCATCTCCTCATCAGGCGCGTGGGCGATGTCATTGGAGGCGCCGCGCTGCGGGCTGGGCTGCCGGTGCGTGTCCTGCCGGCGCTTGTCCTTGCGGTAGTAGAGGGCGGCGAAGGCCAGCACGTTGAGGAAGAGGAGGGAGGCGCCCACAGCGATGGTGACGCTCAGTTCGGTGGAGTAGTCGCGGGGGCTCTCGAGCAGCGTGCCCGCCTCTTGCTCCGGGCTCCACTTCTCCTTCCCGTTCTCGCTGTTGTAGGCAGGAGAGATGGCGGGGCGCTTGGTGGTCCAGATCTTGCTGTTGGGCCGGCGGGTGATGTGGGAGTTCTGAGTGGTGTCGGGTGGTGGCACTTTGGTGGTGGTAGAGGTGTAGTGGAACATATCGTGCAGGTTGTACAGGTGGGGAACCAGGTGCTTCCAGAAAGCCACCTTGGTGGCCCGGTAGTGGTCGCGTACCCGCGGCTTCAGCCCAATGTGCAGGTACAGCTGGTCACGGGGGTTGTACTTGGACCAGGCCACCTCCTCAAACCGGTTGGCCTTGGTGTGGATGAACTTGGTGTCCTGGGGGACAGGCTTGTTGGGGTCCCTGTGAAACACAGGCAGAACAGAACTAGCACTGGGAAAAGCCAAAGAAACAAAGAGGGAGAGCTGGATGCAGAGACAGAAACTGAGGGGACCTTTGCCAGTGGTGGCACAGGGTGGGCTGGCAAAAGGTCTTGAATGACGGGGCAGCACCCAACCCTGGCTCAAGTCTCACCCAAGATAACCAGGGCCAACAAGCCTTCCCACCCCTGGGGCTTGGCTGGGTCCTCTCCCAGGGGCTGGCCATAATCTAAGCTTCTTGCTTTGTGGTTGATGCCATGGCCCCAGTGAAGGTGCAGCACACGGGGACCTCTGGGCACAGGGAGCTCAGTGTCCCACACTGGGCATGATTAACCCCCCACCACAGCACAGCCCCAGGGAGTGCAGCTGCAGTGAGTGCAGACCCCTGAGGCACGGCACCCATCCCCACTCACCCTGTCTTGGCAAAGTTGGTCCAGTAGGTCATCACCACGGCGCTGAGCATGACGTCGTTCTTGGAGAAGTTGCAGGGAAAGAGGTCTGTGGGGCCAATCATGGGGATCCCAAACACGTAAGGCACCTCATCCCCGTGGGCTGCATCGGACCATGCAGGCTTCATCAGGCTCTGGCAGTGGTGGTAGAAGGCGTAGAAGTAGGTGGGGGAGCCGTAGCGGGCGTGCAGGTCGGCTGTCACCACCGAGGGCTCTACCCACTGGTGGTCAGTGAAGAGGGCCACCAGAGTCTTGCGCCGTGTCTCGGGGTTGTCCCGGTCGGCCCAGTCCGTGTACATGAACTTGATGGTCTCCCTCAAGGTGTCCTTGCCCTCAGGGTAGCCGTACAGGTTGTCTACAAAGTTGGAGACTGAGTAGTCAAAGTCACTGCCTGAGACGCCGTCTTCGGGGTCCACCACACCCTCCACAAACTTCAGCCCTTCACCCTGGTTGACCCCCAGCATGATATCATAGTTGAGGAACTCGCCCTGCTCCATCAGGATCTCTGGGTCATCCGGGATCACGTCCCCGTCAATGACTGGCCCGAAGGCCACGTGGTAGCGGGCTGGCTGGATGTCCTGCTCTACCAGCTCCTTGGCACTCTTCTGCCGCAGGCAGTCCACCATGTCCACGGTGTCCAGCACGTTGCAGCCCACCTTGTCAGCCAGCATGCTGGTGTACTTCACAGGCTGGTAGTTCACTGCCCAGCTGGAGAGCGCGGAGCCGCTCTGGATGATGGCTCTCTGGAAGAGACCTGCAACACAGGCAGGGAGTGGAGAAGCCCTCAGCAGGGTTCCAGCATCCCAGAGCTGCACTGCAGGATGCAGCATGGAGAAGGCATTGATGCTCTTGTACCCCTGCAAGGAGCCAGCACTGCAGCCCACACACCTGGCCTTGTCCCTGAGCTGTGCTGCCTGCTGAGCTGGGCTCACACAGGGGGCTCAGCTCAGGGCTGCTGTGGGGATGGCAGGATGACAGCTGGGAATGCAAGTGGGTGCTCCTGGAAGCAACCGAGGGCTGCTGTGCTCCCTGAGGATCCCATTGCAGGAGATGACCCTGCATCCCTGTCCTGGTGTGGGAAGAAGAGGGGCCCTGGTTGTATCACAGCCTGGCCTTGCCAAGCAGCCTGTGCTACCCCAGCCACCCCAAGGATGTGTTACCTGGGCCCAGCACCATCCTCCAGCCCAGGTTGGCACCTGCTTCACTGAGGAGCCAGGCTGTGGGCTGGCAGCAGTGGGAGGGTTAACGCCTGCTTGGGGACACTTAACCCTGCGTGTCCCACCCCACCGCTTTGTCAGAGTCCCCCTCCACCCCCTCCCTGCTGCTTCCTGCCCAGCTGGGGCTGCTCAGTGCCAATCCGGCCCTGCAGGAGCACGCTGCCAGATGCACAAAGAGGGCCTTTCTGCCACCAGGAACACAGAGGGAGTGGACTTTCGCCCTGGAAAACGAGGCCACAAAGGCCCTGGCCCAGGCAGAGAAATGCGTGGCTTCGCTCCAGTCCCATGTCAATGGTGCTTGTGCTCAGAATACAAAGGGTGGTGAGGAAGCAGAGCCTCTGGGCTGTGAAAGGCAGCCAGTCCGGGGTGCACCCAGGGGTCCCTGCTCTCTGACCAGCCCTCTTTGCACCCCAAGTGCTGCCTGCACCCCTGCCAGACCCCAGCACTTGCTTTCCATGAGGGACTGTTCCGGGTGACCCCTGAACGGTGCTGGCACTGCAGTGTGGTGCCCATGGGGCTGCCCCTGGCACCCTGAAGTGCAGAGAACCCCTGTGCAACCAAGGCTGTGCCACTCTGCAGGGAAGCAGAGCAGCACCTTCCTGCAACAGAAGTGTTCAGAGGCTCCTGGCTCCCAGCCACCATGTCCATAGCTCTTGTCTGCACGCACATTCCTCACTCTGCCAAGTACCTGACGTACAGTCCCATGCACTGGGACAAAGAGAAGTCACAAGCTCTGTTTGTCACCTCCTGGTGCCCTAGAAAGCCATACCCAGCCTACAGGCTGGAGACTGGCCATGGGCTTGCTTGCTCTGCACCATCATCCACGTGCCAAGGAGCCAGGATGGGGTTTCCTGGCTCCCTGGAGATGCTGTCCCAGCAGCAGCTATTGCGCCCTGCCAGCAGCATCCCTTCCCAGACAGACCCACAGGCTGGGCTCTGGCCCTGCCCACCACTGCCAGGGCAGCTGATGTCACTGTCAGCTGGTCATGTCCCCGATGGAGCCCCTCTGCCATGTCTCTGCGTGGCCACATCCTGACCCAGGACTCTGTGAGAGCCCCGACTCGTCATGTCCTCCTGCTCTGTGCCAGCACCTGACTGAAGCCTGACAAGCACCCCAGGGAGGCAGCAGCACCCTGCCCTCCACACTGGACCTCTGCAGCTTGCTGAGGCCCAGCAAGAAGGTGAAGTTCTGCCTTTCCTTCCTGTTCCCCTCCATGGTGAAGGTCCCAACACACCCAGCCTCCTGCAGGAGTGTCTGCCACAGCATGGTGGAGTCAATGGTGGGGCCAGGGGTCTGCCAGAGGGTGGTTGGAGCTGCAGATTGCCACCAGCTGCTGCCAGCTCCACATTTCCTCTTTGCTTTGCCCAGTAGCTGAGACTGGAAACACTTCTGGGGGTGTCTGGGCCAAGCCCTGCTCAGAGCAGGGTGCTGGGTGCCTTGTCCAGCTGAGATCTGGAGGGCTGGCAGCAAAGGGCAGAAGCCCCCATGGAGAAGGAGATGGGGCAAAGGAAGCACTTAAAGTTTGCCTGGCACAGACTGCTCGTGCCCTGGTATGGCTGGCTGGGGAGAAAAACAGCACTTTAGTCATTGATGAGGAATCAGAGTGACCCTACAAGGCCTGAAGCTGACAGGGAGCTGTGGATTTCCCCAGCAGCCAGACCCAACATGTGCTGTACCAAGCCTCCAGTGTCTGCCTCTTGCAGCACCTGGCAGAGCAGGCACAAATCAGCAGCTTCATTAATAGCTTGTGATCACTAGAAATTTTATTTTGATGCAGTAAAAACAAACCCACCTGTTCTGCAGGCTGCAACTTAGCACTGCTCCCATGCCGTGCTCCAGAGCCAGCTACCCATCCCTGGGGATGTGGGTGCTCTGGCACAGGGAACTTTTTGAGGTCATTTTACAGCCATTTGGCTTTATGGGACACTGGCTGCAGCACTGAGCACTCCTCTCCTGCTCCACAGCATTGACAGCCAGCAGCAGCTCCCCTGCCCCAGCAGTGAGTGCAGGGGGCACACCAGGAGCACTGGGGCTGCATGGGCAGCACAGGATTCACCATGCAGGTGCAGGGCTTAGTGGCATGAAGTGCAGCATCACCTGAGAAGTGCACATACTGGCAGGACTATTCTTCATGGCTGAAAAGTCACAAGGAGCAGCCCCTCCAGTCCACCCTCAGTCTCTCTCCGTGCTGCTCCAGCCTGGACCCCTGCAAGAGGCTGGGGCCACCTGGGCAGCCAAGCACACACTCCTGCACTCCTGTGATGGAAAGGAGTACCCTTAGAAGCATTGGGAATGCATTACACATAGTGTTCCCTCTGCAGCCTTTCACACTCAATATGGGCAGAGAAAACACTTTTTCTTTCTGCAGGAGCTTTCAGCCTGTAAAAGACTCCCCATCATCAGCCATCAGCCCTGCTGAGGTTCTGGAGATCTCCATTCTTGTGTGATTCCCAGGCTGTTGAGCAGGGCAGCAGCTCTTCAGCTTCGAGTGCAATTTGCTGTGTGTCTCTGAAGGGCAGACTCATGCCCATGTCTACTGCTCACACATGTCCTTTTCTCCTCAGCACCACACTGGGGACACAGCACTGGAAGATGGCTGCACCCTCATATAAAGCTCATGAGCAGGTCCCTGGCAGGCTGCTCCCCTGTGGACCACATCCAGTTCAGGCTTTGCTCCTAGAATTTCCTTTAGGAAATTTATCAAAAACACCTCCAGTCTCACAGCTAATTTTTCTCCCCCTCAGTGCTTGATGTAAATGCATTTGCAGGTGGTTTACATGCATTTGCTCTTATTCCAGCACAGCCTTTTAGCATAAATAATTCCCTTCTTTATTTAGAGTAAACACTCTGCTATATTTACAGATATTAATCATATTACTTCCACCTGTGTTTTGCTAGGTGCAGCACTTCCAGCTCTGCCAGTCTCCCAACACAGGGCCCTCCACCCCTCCCTAGGCTCAGGAGGAATGTCTGGGGCACTCTGTCTTCCCCTCTCTTCCAGTATAAATACCTTTCCTTCCCCTCTATTCTAGTATAATCACCTTTCCTAGCACTGAGATCCCTGTTCCCAGTGCCCTGAATGATGCCCTGCACCTCCTCCACACCTGCACTAGGAACACCTGAGCACCAGGGCAGGGCCCCTCCTGTCCCTGGAAGCAACCAAGGGCTGCTGTGCTCCCTGAGGATCCCATTGCAGGGGATGACCCAGCATCCCTGTCCTGGTGTGGGGTCCCCACCTCTCCCCATGCCAAGGGGCTGGCTCTGGGCTGCAGCCTTGTGCACTGGGAGCACCCACTCCATCCCTGTCTCTCACATCCTCTGCCACTGGCCTCTTTCTGCCCTTGATGAGAAAGTTTTGCCTCCCAGTCCTGGTCCAGGCTCTGACCAGTGAGTGATTAGAAAGCAGCCCTGACTTTGTTGGGCTGGGCAGCAGGACTCGGGCGGGCTCCCCTCCCTGGGTTAGCATCAGCAGGGCGAAGGCTGAGCAGAAGCTTAGGTGGAGGTAGGACATAAAGAAAGTTACAGGGTGGGAGCTATAATTTGTTGAGTCGAAATCAACCATCTTAGTTAGACTAACTTTTTGTTATTCTGCTCATTCTAATCCACCTTGAATTCATTTGTATACTAGTCCTAAGGTAAGGAGGAGGATAAGTGAGGAGGTTCAGGTTAGGGTGGTGGTAGGAGATTGTAGTTGGGTGGCTCATGGTAGTGGGAGGAGTAGGGTGATTTCTAAGTCAAACAGGAGGAAGAGAATGGCTACTAGGAAGAAGTGGATTGAGAAAGGGAGTCAAGCACATCCCAGGGGGTTGAATCTGCATTCGTATGGGGATAGTTTTTCTGAGTCAGGTTTTATTTGGGCGAGACAAAAGTTAAGTGCAGTTAGGAGGATGCTTAGGGTTAGTATGAATAGGATTATGTTTATTACTCTTCTTTGGGTTTAAACCAGATTCTGCAGCTGCAGCAGCCTCGGGCAGGGCTGACAACCTACCTTGAGTGGTGGGACAGGGTGAGCAGGCTGACACCTACCTTCTGAGTGGTGGGACAGGGTGAGCAGGCTGACACAGGAGGCACCGATGCCCGAGCCGAACACGGTGATGCGCAGGGGGTCCCCCCCGAAGAAGGCGATGTTCTCGCTGACCCAGCGCAGCGCCTGGATCTGGTCCAGCAGCCCGTAATTGCCCTTGGCAGCCTGGTCCCCCGTGCTCAGGAACCCTGAGGGCCAAGGGGAGCCCGGTTAGGGATGAGGAAACAGGGAAAGTCCTGGTTTCCCACCCCCCTTCCCCATACCCAGGGCAGGGCACCCTGTGTTCTGTGGGACCCTATCCCACCATGAGAGTTTTGTGAGTTCTAAGCTGGAGCAGGGACACCACTGAGCTCCTCCCACCCTCTGCAGGGCACAGAGGGCTGAAAGGCTGAGAGAACAGCTGCAAACCTCGGGGAACCTCTTTGGCCAACAACCAGCAGGGACAGGGTAAAGAGCACAAAGCTCTGTCCTACCCATACCACCACCCGTGCTAGAACAGCTCAAGACATCTCACACCAGCCCCAAGGAAAGCTCAGAAAGCATCAGTGGCTGCAGGCAGGGCGAGTGTGAGCACAGCCAATGCTTTCCATGGACTAGTGTGGGCTGGGGGAGGCTCTGTAAAGTGTCAGGAGGTGGGCTGGGCAGAGAGGAACCGACTGCAGCTTAAAATGCAAAGGCTCTCAGTGGGGAATAAGGTGAGAAATGCTTTCAATAGCGCAGGAAACACCCAAGATAAGTTATCACTCTTTCGTTTGCTTTGACTTTAAGCAGGAAGCCAAAACCTGAGGGGCCCGAGGTAAAATCCAGGCAGGTAACCCCAGCACACAGGGAGTGGCCCCAGGGCTGTGCTGGCACTTGGAGGGGGTCTGGCTGGGAGTGGTGCACCACCTCAATGGAAATGATGAAGGCACCACTTAAGCCTAATGTCATATTGTGACTCATGTGTCTTATCTTTGCACCTATCCATTTTAGGACTTTTGACATTAAAAGGTTTTGAATAGGTTAACTATCATCTTCCACATGAAAATATGGGCTCTGGAAACCATTAGAGGAATGTGCTGCCCCAGGTACCAGGCAGGAGCCCAAGGGAGAGCACCATGCTAGGCTGGATGGCCAGGAAGAGAGCCAGCAGCTCGGCTTGGAAAGGAGCTGTCCCCAAACCTCTACACCCCTTGTTCTCATGCAGCCAAGGCATGCAGCAGTGGTGTTCCACACAAGCCTCCTGTGTCTCAGCCCCTGGGGGTTTCTGCTGCTTCAGCCAGGGGACTGCACTGCCTTTTGACCCTCTGTCCTCATTTTGCCTCTCTAAGTCACCAGTGCTTTTGGAAACAGGACTGCCACCCTCCTCTGCATGGCTCCTGACACCTTCCGTGCTGCCCACTGCAGACAGCCACGGCACGGTGTGTTGCTGAGGGGGTCCCAGCAGCACAAGTGGCTTGGAGGCTGCCTGTGCCCAGGGAGGGAGAGCTGCCAGGTCCCCAGGACAGCCAGGCAGCACCCGCTGGCACCTCACCCGTCTGAGCCCTCTCAGGAGGAGATGCTGGGTAAACACATTTATTATTCATTTAACCACAAACCAATATTTGCTTTCAGTTGAGCCAGTTTGTGTACATGAGCCGGGGGGGCCGGTGCCAGGGCCCAGGCTGGGCTGTGCCCGTGTGCTGGGGGCTGTGCCACGTGGCACCGCCGGGCTGCCAGGGCCGAGGGCAGGGGCAGCGCCCGCAGCGCATCCCGCCGGGCCCGCCGCCCCCTGTGCGGCCCCGGGGCTGTCCCACGGCGGGGCAGCCAGCTCATACCGAGCACTCCAACGCGGTAGTTGAGGGTGATGACAATCACGTTCCCGTAGCTGGCCAGGATGCTGCCGTCTATCATGTTCCCCGTGCCCTCCATGTAGGAGCCCCCGTGGATATAGACCATCACCGGCTTGGCCCCGCTGTCCCGGATGTCTGCAAGGAGAGCTGGTTACACACAGCCCCGCACGCACGGCCGCAGCACCCTGCCCGACAGGCAGACCAAGGACAAGGGCAATGCCAGCTGCCAGGACCACGGAGGGGGCTTGGGAGCCAAAGCCAGAGCTCTCCTGGGGGCCACAGCATGGAGCCCCAAAGCCAAACACCACTGAACCAACCCTGCCAGCCCCTGGGCGGGACGTGGCTGTTGCTGCTCTGTCCCCACACTGCTGTCCCCTCAGGGGTCTGAGCAGGTGAGGGAGGGACGCTGGCTGGACCCTGCTCTCTTCCCCGGAGCTGGGCTCTGGCACGGTGTGGGAGCCAGATCAGCTCTGCTTAGGGTGGGAGCTGCAGAGTCCAGCCCCAGGATGCAGCCCCATGTCCTGTCTTTGGCTGGACCCAAGCACTCCGTGAGTCCTGGAAGCTGGCATTGCGGAGGGGGGCAGGGATGGGGGTGTGCAGGACCTAGAGGGGGGGCCACTGATGTGTGCTCCAGTGTCTTACTCTCCCACTCCCCCTTCCCATTCCCCTGGGAAGGCAGGGACCTGCCTGTCTGGATGTAATCCCACGGCACCCCAGTGCCCAGACACAGACATGGTGATGAGGCAGACAGTGGATGCAGGTGTGTGTGTCAGGGAGGTGAGCACGGCATCTGGACGAGGACAGGGCATGAGGCATGGAGTGAGGATGGACAATGGGACCCCGCGGGCCGGGGAGGAAGGACGGTGGGAGCCTGGGGGACAGGGAGCAGCCACGCTCCCTCTCTCAACTTCTCCTGTCCAGGGGACATCCTGCCCCTCCTGCCCCACTGGCTGGTGATCCCTCAGGGAGCCATGGCCACCCACAGGGGAATAACATCCTGGACATCCTGCCCATGTCACATGGACGAGGCAGTTGCACCTGCCCTGGAGACACGGCCAGGTCCCACATTGCCTGCCCTGCCCAGCCCTGTCCTGGGCTGGCCATCCAGACCCATGGACTTTGTCCTGCCTTGTGCTCACTCACACCCAGCACCTTGCCCAGGTGGGCTGGCAGTGCCTGCTTGGCCTCAGCTGCCCCAGGCAGCTGCTGCTCCCTGCCTGCCTCCCTCAGCAGTGCTGCACAGCACTGTCCCAGCAGGACTGGGACCCTTGGGGCACAGCCACACTAACACCAGTGCCCACTGGGCTGGTCATGCTCCCTCACACTCACCAAGCCACTGCACAAGTCCACTCCTCCCTGTGGCCTGTCCATTGCAGGGGGCTGCAGGCCAGGCTGATGGGTACCTGTGGCCATTGTCACCTCCAGCTGTGGCCCATGGCATGGCTAAAGGTGGCTTCCCATACAGAAAACCTCTTCCCTCCAGGAGAATGAGGCTATGCCAAACCTGAAACCTGTGCTGGCTCTTTTCCTATTGCCAGAATGTAGTCAGACAAATGCACAGACCAGGGGAGCAAAAAGTGCTTGCAGCTCCTCCAGGACAGACATTGCCTGTGTGGCACAGCTACATCAGGACAATTTTTTCCAGTATCACCTGCTTGAAATGAGAGGGGCAGGAACATCAGTGCCTGTGCCCGTGTCTTCTCCTCCATCCTGCACCCACTCCCTGACATGCAAAGAGCCCTCCTCACAGCAGAATGGCAGCAATGTACAGAGATGTACCAGGAAATAAACATCTTCCTGCTGCAGCACATTTTGGTGTGTGTGGATTGAGCACAGTGGAGTCACTTAGGCTGAATGCCAGTTTACGCCCTGGTACAAGAGATCATAGGGGCACAGGTTAGCTGGAGTAAACAACAGGGTTTTAGTACTGCCAAGGAAAAAGTTTTTCATCTATTTCCCAGATCCTAAATGCCATCTGCCAGGCCTTGTTCAAGCTGCCCTGGGCCTTCTGCACACCATGAGGCTTTACTGTCCTCAGCACATGAGGGCTGTAGCCTGGCCAACCCTTCCTCCTAGCTCCTCATCACATCTCTGCAGCCAAACACGCTGACTCCATAACCTGCAGACAAACCACCCTGTTTTACTAAAAATAGCCTATTCTGCAGCTTGCTTAGTCCTGGCATACCTCTAGAATCACATCTGCTGGAAAGGCCACTTGCTCTGTCTTGGCTGGTGCTTGCAAGCAAGACCTCACTTCCACGGGGTGAGGAAGGAGAGAAGTTGACAGAAACCAAGGGAACCCTGGGTCTCCTGTGCATGGCCAGACGCCCTTTGGGGTGCCAAGTGTTCAGGCTGCTGGCACAGCCATGGCAGGGCCAGGAAGGGGTGCGTGTGGAGGCTGCTGGCTCCCAGATGCATGTCACTGACTCTGGAGGGATGAGGCTGGAGGTGGGATGTGACCTGTGGGCTCAGGGTGAAATGGGCCCAGGTGCCCGAGGGCTTCTCTCCTCCCAAGCTGCCATGCTTCCTCCCTGCCCTCACTCCAACGGAGCAGGAGCAAACTCCTCCTAAAGCGGAACAACCCCATGAGCTTCCCCCCGTCAGGAGGAGGGGAAGGTGCTGGGTGCCCTGCACAGCCGGCCAGCCTGCCCCCCACCCCGCGCCGCTGCCTGGCACGGCAGACAGACACACACAGGGCTCCCTGGGGGTGGCAGCGGATGGCGGCACACGGAGCTGCTGTGCTTTGCTTTGCGTGTCATGCAGTGGCAGCCTCGAGCACAGAAATACCTTCGTCTTCATCACCGTCATTATCCGCTAAGTCCTCGCCCTGTTTCTTAGCGCTGGCTCCTAGGGACCAAACACGAGGAGACAGAACAAAAAGGAAAACAAAAAGGAAATAAAAACAAAACAAAACAAAAAAAAAAAAAAAAAAAAAAAAAAGAAAGAAAAGAAAGAAAGAAAAAAAAGAACACCAAAAAAAAAAAAAAAAGAGAATTCAAAAATAGCATGATAGCAGAGACAGTGGGGCCACGCCTGTGCCCCACAGCACTGCTGGCTACTCACACTGCACCTCTCCCAGAGCCAGGGCAGTGTTGGGCACGGGCTGCCCCAGGAGTGTGCCAGGATGCTGCTTCACCGGGGCCCCTTCCCAGATCCTCCCTGGGGAGGGCTGGGGTGGAGGGAAGACGCGAGTGGGGCTGTGACAGCATCAGTGCTGGTGGTGGATGAGTCTCTCAAAGCACTTGTCGGTCCTCCTGCATCCCAGCCTGGCCCCCACCTGGTCATGCACCCTTAGCTCCAGGCAAGGCTCCCTCTCCTAGCCCCAGCCCTGCTCCCAGCTCTGCTGCCCCCAGGGACAACTGTCCTCTGCAGAGCTCACACCAAGGGCTGCCTTGCATGGCCACTGCCCACCAGGCAGGTTCCTGCCCATCACCCCCACACGTGTGTGGCTCCTTGTTATGCCTGGCCACAAACCACTGGCACCACTGCATGAGACCACCACAGCACGCAGGGATCCCTCATGACAGCTGCTCCCCTGAGCTGCCTGGCTCCATCCTGCACCAACTCCCTCCTTACAAGACATGTTCCATGTTTCACTGAGGATTTCGAAGGCACCAGTCAGCTTGACCTGACTAAGGCAGAATCCTAAACATATGAGTTTCTGTAACATCCTGAATGCCTTACAGATGTTCTGTGTCCCTTCACCAAGCTGCAGTGCTGGGGCATGGGCCAGCCCAGCAGCCCCATGTGGATTGCTGCTGTGGATGGCTTGCAGTGAGCCCGGCACTCCCCAAACTGCAGAGAGGTGGCCTGTGGGCAGGCAGGGAGCAGGGGTGCTGAAAAACCTGTGCCAAAACCCCACTCCTGCAAAGGACTGCATGCCAGTGTAGACACAAAGGCAAGTGGTGCCATCCCTGAGCTCTGGAGCTCTGAATCTCAGGAAATGCTGGGTGCTCTCATCCTCTTAGAGCTGCAGATCAACACCTGCAAGCCCTCTGCTCCCTAGTGCCTGCTACAAAAAGTTCCCTAGGTGATGGTGACCTCTGGGGAGACAGCAGGGTTTCCCCCAGGCAGGACTCATCCACACAGTGCCTGCACTGCCCAGGGACCTTCCCCTGAGACAAGGGGCTCTGTCTGACACCCTGCCAGGCACCTGGCCGACCCCAGGGTCCTGCTGCCACCACCAACAGCTCCCATTGCCACAGCAAGGGCATTCACAGCCCCCAGCAAAGCTTCCATCAGCAAGGGACGGGCCTGTGGCTGCATGGAACTACAGGACTAAATGCACAAAACTGGTCAGAAAGACAAAACTGGGGAGCCATGCTCACTGTCAGTCTGGGAGTGGCATTCTGCAGGTGACACGGGAGGTGGATAACAGAGATGGCAGCATGGAGTGGGACAGGATTTGAATTTACAAGGAATCTGTGATGGGGGAGGAAGAGATCTGAAATGGCTGTGAGGCAGCTCCATCAGGGGGAGAGGCTTGTAGAATGCTTTTAGCAGCCATGACCTGCTGGAGAAAGTCTGGAGGAGCAGCAACCAGAAACCTCAAAAAATCCAGCAGGCAGGGAAAGTTTGCAGAAGGCTGGGTCACATATGAATGCTGGGAGCAGAGGCACGATGGGAGCTGCAGCAGCATCCCAACACATGAAAGAATACTGTGAGGTGGTGAGGTGGAACAGCAAGTCCCTCTCAGGCAGCCCTGGGGCTACAGGAGGCAGGATGAGAAGAAAACTTTTCTGGAAGAAAGGGCAGAGAAACACTGGAAGAGGCGGCCTGGGGAGATGTTTAAGGCCAGGTGGGACACACTGCCAGAAAGAGGTGAGGGAGAGCTGCTCCTGCCAAGGGCAGGGATGGATCAGCTGACTCATGTGCTGTTCTGACTTTCCCCACCATGCTCCAACCCGACCCCTTCACCTCCTGCTTCACCACCCGGCCGTTCTCTGAGAATCTCACATCCTTCTCCTCTTTCCACCCATCCCTGTCATCTCCTGCCCCAGCACCTCAGCCCCAGCATCTCCCCCTTCCTGCTGCATCCTTCCCACACTGCCTGCCCAGCCCAGCCCCAGCCACACACTTGGCTGGGCATGTGCAGCCACTCAGCCTCTTTGAGGAGCTGCAAGCTTGACCTACTGTGTCTTCATTAGGAAGAGCTGCAAGCCCAGAAAGCACTTAAATGACGAAGTGCTCATGCAGTATTTGCTAACCAGTGCTGTGCACCAACCTCTTGGTACTTCTACGGGATGGGGATTTTTCTCTAATGAAGACAACAGCCAGTGAGCCTTGATCCACACTGTGCTTCAGAGTTGAGAAGCAGACCACAGGCAGCTGTTCCACTGCCAAAGGCCCTGGTGCTGTTAAAGCCCTGGGACTGGCCAGGCTGCAGCCCTCCAGCCTGGTCTCCTTCAGGGACAGAAGTCTCTGTGCAGATGAGAATGGAGGAATCAGCTATGAGGAATTGTCAGGTTGTAAAAGAGGGCAGTGGACAACATCTCTGTGACCTGAGCAACTGTCCTAGCTGAGCAGGGAGGGATCCAGCTGGAGACTGCAGAGCTTTGGGATGGCTGGGACAAGCCTCCAGCAACCTGAGCTTCAGGCACTGTGGAAGAGATGGCAGAAAGCAGCACTTGGGAAGCTCAGCAAAGCAGGAGTGCAGTGATGCAGGCCAGGGGAAGGGGAACAGCAGTGGCATGTGTGTGTGGCAGATGCAAAGCACAAGCCTCACCCATCAGCAGGAAGGTGCCAGGGTGGTATGGCCAACACTCACTGTTGTGACCAAGTGGGCTTTTTGCCCCTTGCTGCAGTGCTCACCTCCAGCACAACCCACCAATGCCCCACAGCTCGTGAGAGCAATCACAGCTTCACTTCCCTCACCCAGTAACACTTTCCACTGGCTCCTGCCATGTTCAGGGACACCCAGCCCAGGAGAGCTTCCTCTGGTCTGAGAAACGCCACCACACAGAGCCCTGCAGCTCTCACCCACTCTCATGAGGATGGGTTTAAGCCTGTGGATTCACAGCTGGAAAAACTAAAAGGGCTCATGGCTCTTATTCTCCTTACCCATCAAAAACACTCTCCACTAACCCAGGAAGTGAATGTCTGTTGTCTGCCACTTCACTTTAAGCTGACTGCAAAGTGACATTGTTCAGGCCGATAGGAAGGATGCAGATGCTCTTATCTGAGCCACTAGGAAGATTTAAGTTCAACTTTAGTAAAAAAAAAAAAAAAAAAAAAAAATCACTTTGCCTGAAACAGGGGCATCCATGCTGGATTTATTCTATCTTAAGTAAACCATACCAGCAGCACTGACACCAGTGCAATCAGAGATAAAGCAGGGTAAGGAGCCTCAGTTCTCAGAGCCTTCATTCTCAGCATGGTGTGGATAAGAGAAGAGCAGGAGCCTGAGATGACACCTTTATTCAGGGCACCTATAGGCAGCTCCAGCACTCTCTCCTCAGTGGGACTTCCGTGGGGCACCCACTGCTGCAAAGCAGCCACCATGCTGCAGGGAGCAGAGCCTCTGATGGCCACATGCACCCAAAGGGACACCTGCTGCCAGCCACAGCATCTCAGCTGCTGCTCTGGGAGTGACAAAGGACAGGGCCAAGAATGGTGCAGCTGTTGAACCTGCTGCTGCACAGCCCCACAGGCTCAGCCGGGACCTGTGCCATCAGCCCTTGCTCCAGGACTGCAGCACACCTCGGTGCTGCCCTGCCCCTCCCTGCCCTGAATGATGCAGAGGAGTTCTCTCCATCCCTGAGTGGACTCAGTAAAAGCACTGCATCTCCTCACGCTCTGCTGCCCCCGCAGCACAAACACCGACCCTCACCTTTGCAAATCGCTCCCCGGAGTGGAAGCAGAGCCCCAGGGCGGTGGTCTGCCCACAGCCAGCCCTGCAGAGCAGCAGGCTTCGAGGGGGCTGGGAAGAAGCTTCCAGCAAGGAAGCACTGCAGAATTTGTGCAGCTGTAGGGAAGCCTCAGCTGGTACTTAGACAAGTCAGCTTCTTGGAGAGCAGCGGAGAAGCTGCCGAAGTGTTTCCTGAGCCCAGGAGCTGCTGGGAGCTCCAGACACCCTCACACAGCAGAGGAAGATGCTGGACCTGCACATTTGTCTCTGCAATGTCACAGACTCTTTGCAGTCCCAGCCAGAGAGATTTGGGCATTTGCTAATGAGAACCAGGAAGAGCTGCTAAGTGCAGGGCAACCACATTTTTCCCCTCCAAAAATGACATCCACCTCCTCATGCCCTGCAGCAAGGATTGCCCAGGCTGGTGAGGAAGGGAAGGAAAAATCATCTTGGCATCTACCACAGCCAAAAAAAGGCTGGAAGTGTTGGCAGCACAAAGCATGGGGCAGAGCTGCATTTTGCACATAGGTACTGTGCTCCCAGGGTGTGTGTCTGTGTGTCTGTGTACATGGTCTTCGGGTGGGCAGCACTATTTCTGCAGCAAAATCTGAGCCCCAAATGAGCCTCAGTGCTGTCAGCTCCCCTGGCACCATGCATGGCTAGCTGCTCTCAAAGCACTGCTGCCCTGTACTGCTACCAGAGAAGGGACCAATGTGTATGGAGGAGACTGGCATTTAGAAAATTTCCATAGAGGAAATGACTGTGGACAACTGGGCAGGGAAACAGGGATGTTTTTCTGTCCCAGAGATAAACAAGCATGACTGATAAATTCTCAGTCCTTTGTCTGCTCTGAAATACACAGAGCTTAGGGGTGGCAGAAGTCATGAAAACTCCAGTAAGGTGGGAGCTGAGGCATTTCCAACCACCAAAATACTGTTCTGTGAGAGGAGAGCTTATCACTGCTCGTCTGTGGCCTTAGAAATAGTAATCATGATTATTCCAGAATGAGTCAATGTTCAAATGTTCAACCTGAGGAAATCAGCACTGCAGGTACAGTACCCTCTCCCCAAGCATTACTAACCTAGGATACACAATGAGGAGTGTGGGAGCTTCTGTGTTTCATCACAAGTGACTCAATTAATTCAAGCCAACAGCTACCAGAGCCTGGCCAGAGCTGGAGGGAAGTGCCAGTGTCTGGGTGCTTTAATTCTTGGCACGCCACACCTGGATGTCCAAATGGCTGGCACTGGGCATCTGCTGGTCCATGAGTCAACAGAGGCCAGTGGGGGCAAAGGGAATGTCCCCCACCAGCTCCCTGGGAGGTGACCAGAGGCAACAGCCGCAGAGGGGCTGCAAAGAAACCCCACCCGTGAGCAGAGCCAGCAGGGAGGGAAACCCAGGAGATGAGCACACCCAAGGTGTCCTGTCATGCCTTCTATCATCCCCTTGTCTGGCAGTAACCTGGAGCCGGCTCCCCTGGCTGCAGGGGGGCGGCGGGGGCTGCCAGCGCTGGCAGCCGGTGGGAGGGCCGGGAGAGGAAGCGCTTTGAAGTGGCTGGTGATCACTGGCACAGCCGGCTCCGGAGGCAGCGTGCACAGACTCCCTAATGCGCCAGCCCTTTCAGGGGCAGCCTTGGCACTCAGAGAGATGGCGTGTGAATAGCCAGGACAGCAACAGGAAAAGCAAAGCAAAGAAACCAAACAACAGAACTGGGGGAAACGGCTGGAAGGAAAGCGCTCCCCAAACCTCCAAGCCCAGCTGCACTGGCCCCGCCAAACCCAGGGGTGCAGGGAGACAGAGGCTGGGATGCAGGGATGCTGCTGCTGCTGCTGCAGGATGCCCAGGACAGCAGCCTGTGCTGGGCAGACACCCTGTACTGAGCCTTTCAGAAGAGCTTGGCTGCCTGACCATCCACACGTTCATCTTTGGGATGCACAGAGCAGTCAGCTCTCCCTGCCTGCACGGGGCTGTGTGGAGGGATGGGTGAGGCATTGTGTCTGACACGGGGCTGAGCCAGCTACCATTTGTATGTCTCTACTCCCTTGTGCATGTCACTGGTTGGGAATACAGGATCATTTAGGGGCAATGGGGGAAGGTCAGTGGAGGCAAGGCAAAGCAGACGTGTCTGAACTGGAGGTACTTGGCTCCCCATGGGGCAGCTAGGGCTGCTGTGGGCTCAGGGAGGCTGCTGTGCCATGGGCTGGAGACCAAATCCTTACTGGCAGGACTGGCACTGGCACGGGGGTGTGAGCAGTGGGGTGCAGCCTTGGCAGGCACAAGGCTCAGGGCAGAATCTGCAGCATTTACACTGCCAGGAGAGGCTTTATGCTTTTAACCAGGGAGCTCTGGATGCAAAATGATCAGGGATGCAACGGGGGAAAAGCTCAGCCCAGGATGGACTGCTGCAGTCCCCCATCACACGGGTCCTTCCCTGAGCAGGTCCATACACCCCACAATGGGATAACCCAACCTAAGGGATGTATTTCAGTGCTGCCTGCCATCAGAGGCTACCCCTCATGGCCAGGGATGGGGAGTGCCAGTGGGATGAAGGAGGGAGTGCAGGCTCAGCCCAGGAGAAGCTGTTCTGAAAGGCCTGGAGCACCATGAGCATCCTCATGACCTGACCCCAGAGCTGTGCTCCCAGCTGGCCGGAGCATCCATGGGGCCATTCCCAGTGGGAAGCAGGGGGTGGCAGGGGGGGCTGCTTGGAGGGTCCACAGTCCGGGTGGCAGCACAGAGAGGTGCTGGAGGAGTGCTGCAGGCCAGGGGCCAGCCAGGCACCCTCTCACTCTCTCACTCTCTCTCTCTTTCCTCTCTGTGCCTCTCTGCCGGTCGGCTTGCTACATACCTCCTTTCCTACATATTTTCTTGTTGGGCTTTCGGGTGCATTCCTTGGAAATCCGTTTTACTGTAAAATGAATAAAAGACTACAAAATAACAGGAGGCTCCACTGATGGGAGTGGGCATGCAATCACAACCACGCTGCTACCCTCCCACCGCCCCCGGGACCGCGGGAGGTGGGGAGGGAGCGTCGCCATGGGAGGAAAACTCTGGGCCAGCCGTGCTGGGCGAGAAGGAAGGCATGATGCATCCCGTGGGCCCCAGAGACAGAGGAGTGGAGCCAGCCAGCCTGGGAGAAGCCACCGACCCGCCAGGCTGCTCTGCTGTGTGCAGCAGACCCGCTGCGGGTCCCTTCTGGCCCGCTGAAAATCCCCGGGGGCTCCTGTTGCGGTGAGGCTGGGGCGGGCGTGCGGGCAGGCGCTGCCTCCTCTGCCCTCTACTTACAGTTCAGCTGGGATCCCCTACAAAGGAAAAGGTTAGACGAGGAGGCACCCAGCGCCGCTCAGCCTCACCCCAACAGGAGCGTGCCCCGTGCGTCCCCAGCACGCCAGGCTCATCGCTCTGCCGCCGTCCCACCGCGCACGGAGGAGCAGCCAAGCGATGTGTCTGCCGGTGCACCCCAACCTCCCAGCCGTACCAGGGCCCAGAAAAGGGCTCTGTGGTCCCTTTCTTGCCGGAGCATCTTCCCAGGGAGAGGCAGAGAGTGTTCCTCCCAGCCGCAGCCCACGCCCACAACTAGCGCATGGACCTGGGGAGGGTGGGAAGCAGGGAGGAAGGACGAACTCGAACCAACTCAAGACAGAACCTGGCACTCGGCGCCTGTGGGGAGCACAAATCAGCTTGTCACTCTGTGGATCTGCGGTCAGAGAGTCGGATTCAGATTTAGCAATACAAGAGAGGAGGAACCCGTGACGATGCCATGGAGGTGGAGGGGTAGGACCGGGAGGCGTGGAGGAGCAGGAGCACGCGAGACAGAGATGGCAGCTGAGGGCAAGAGGGCAAGCTGCGTGGCCAGAGAAAGCTTTCCACAAACAGACAGCATGCTGCGGGGTCCACAACCACATGCTTCAAACACAACACCCAGGTGAGACCAACCACTGCTGGGGAGGGGTGGAATGACCCCCCCCCTCGCTCTCCTGCGGTCACCCCAGTGGGGACTCACCATCCTCCGTGGGGATGTAGATGTTGAGGTACAGACAGTCCTCGTTGGGGTCCTGGATGTACGTGGCCACGATATCCAAGTTGGAGGTAAACCAGATGGGCAGCATGATCTCGGGAACGGCGTTGTGGATGTTCTGGGGGCAGACTGGTGAGAAGTGGGTAGCGTTCCTGATGCCCGACCAGGATGGTGGTGGCTCGGGGGGCATGAATCTCTTCTCCCCGACGGGGGGAGCGGCATAAGGAACCCCCAGGTACTGGTCCACGGGCCCCAGGATCTCACTGGGCAGCGGCACGCGCACCCCTCGTAACTTCCCATAGTGCGTGTTGACAGTGGGCGAGTAGACCTGGCCCTCCATCTGCACAACCATCGAGGCAAAGCTCAGCACCCAGAGGGTGAGACGCAGGTCCCAGCTGGCCACCAGCTCAGGCACTTGGAGAACAGGGGGGAAGAGAGGACTTCTCCAGAGTATCAGCCACATTGTCCGGGAGAAACAGCACCAACATCCAGGCCTGAAGCTCCTGGGGCGAGGTCTCAGAGCAGCCCCATCACACCAAGCCTCCGATTTGCCCACCAGGAACAGATGGAACAGAAGAGACGGGAGTCAGGGGTGCCCAGCCACGCCTTCTGCTGGGTGGTCGGGAGCACGGACTCAGGGAGAGGTGGCACCAGCTCCTCACAGCCTCCCAGCTGCCTGCTGCTGCCTGCCTGCCAGCGGCCCAGCCCGGAGGTGACTGCTGATACTGTGGAGAGATGGAGGGAATTAACAGCAGACTTGCTCTGGAAGAGTTGAAGACGTGCAGTGCAGAAGGAGCCAGGATCTCTGGCTGAGCCTCCCACCCATGGGTGCTCATTGGCTCTGCCAGCAGCTGGGCAGGTGGCTCTGGGAGCAGGCAAAAGCGGGCAGAACAAGCAGAGCATGTGCAGACACACACACGGTCTGCCCATGCCTGCAGAGCCTGTCCCCAGTGCTCAGGGGCTGCCTAGAGTTTGGGTGCCAAGACAAGCAGACAGTGCTGTGTCCCTCCCCATAAGGAGCCCATTGGACACCACTGGTGCCAAGCACAGCCCCTGCACAAGATTCCCCTGGCACCTCTCCTCTCCTGGCTGAGCTGGAGCTGCCTGTGCTCCGTTCCTGGCCTTCAGCACAGCACTGCTCCCCTGTTGGGGCAGCCTACACGGGCAAACAGGACCTACACGTCCTAGCCAGGCACCCATCTCACCCACCAGCCCAGTCCCCATCAGCTTCCCCCTCCACTGGGCAAAGCAGGGAGAGCCCAGGAGGACCCGGGTGCTGGGCAGGCAGGAGGTGAACAGACAGAGCACTTGTGCCCTCCCTCCTTCCCACCTGCTTGTGGGCATCATCTGCCCTCCCTGCCAGCCGCCTGTGGGCATCTGCCCTCCCTGCCAGCCGCTCCGTGCCCCGGCAAGCCCGGGAGGCAGAGCTGCGCTCCCCGGTCCCGCCCGGGCTGGCAGCACAGGAGGAGCAGCTGTGGCAGCCCCCGCGGGGAAGGGAGGGCACCGCAGATGGGGACCCGCGGATGTGTCAGCGAGCAGAGCTCCTGTGCCAGGGAGCCCTCGCTGGAGGCTCTGTGGATCCTCAGCGCTCTGCCCTTCACCTTCCAGCACCGCCTGGCGCATTTCGGGCTTATGTAAGTGCCGCCCGCTGGGCTCCCCCCGCAGCCCCGCTGCTCCGGGGGCGCCGGGCACGGGGAGCCGGCCCGGGGCTCCCCGCACCGCAGCATCGGCCCCGGCCGCTCCGCTCTCGGCGGGCGGATCTGCAGACGGTCCCCGCGGGAAGGCGGCGGTGGCTCGGGGGATGCTCACTGGTCCTGTCTCAGCCACATGGGCTCACGCTGGGAGAGACGGCGGTGGTAGTGAGCGAGGCACCTCCGCTCTGCCCCAGGGCATCCTGACATGCCCACCCGGCAGATCTCTCCCAGGCTCAGAGGGGAGCAGAGTTGCCTAGAAATTATTGGAGCACAAAATAAGGGCTGTATGCAGATGGGAGTTTGCAGCTCTGGTGGAGGTTCAGTTGGGCAGGGATTCCACAAATAGAGAACACCTCATCCAATGAGGAAAATCTGCAGGAAAAAAAACCCCACCACCACCAAAAAAAAATACCAACCCAGAAAAACCCAACTTCCCCCCCCCCAAATCTCCCAGACAGATAAACAGAAACCCACAAAAATACCCCACCCAAACAAAACACAACCAAAAACCCCCGCAGAAGGTGTCTCAAATCTCTACTGCACATGTGCAGGCAATTCACTGCTGGTCATTAAGGGAATGGGCCCATGCTGTGCCTGCCCTCCTGATACACCCAAAGAACTTGGCAGCCTCAGAAATCAGGGTAACACAGTAAACAGAAACACTCATCTCAGAAAATCATGTTACTGCATTCAGCCCACCCAAGCAGCAAGGCCTCACAGGGCTGGGCGTGCAGGCACCTCTCCAGAGCCTGCCAAGGGAATGCAGGTGATGCCAGACAAGGAGGGCAGCACAACTCTGCACATCACTCCCCTTCACCTCCTTCTGCCCCACCAGGCAGTGACAGAAACACCCCAGCAGGAGCACGACACTGCTGCGTTATCCCCCAAACAGATGCCAAAGCCTGAGAAATAAAAGCTGAGTCAAGGGCCAGGAAAACAGCTGAGGCACCCAGAGACCCCAAGCTGAGCTCTGCCCACCACTGCTGGAGCTGCATCCGCAGCACAGTGCCTTGGCTGCCCTGTTCTGCCTGCAGCTCTGGAAGAAAACCATCACTCATCTCACATTCCTTGCCGCAATGCTCCTCCTTCAGCAGAGAGCTGACCTTTGCCTGACAGCCACATCCCAGGGGTGCAGGGCTGGCCTGGACCCCCCAGAGCTGTGTTCCCAAGCAGGATCTCAGAGGTGCTTCAGACCCATCACTCTGCCTGACGCTGCTGGAAGGCAAACTGCCCAGTGTAAATCTTCTGCTTAGGTTCCTTCAGGTACCACAGGTTAGGATAAAGCTAATTATTAATGACTGTCATATCTAATTTGTATGACTGGAAGCTACAGGCAGCTTCCAGTCTTTATGATAGTGCATCCAGTGCTCCCTGCAGAGCCATTTCAACTGATCTGTCATCATTTTCTGTCTGCAGGAGCACCACAGCCCTGCCAGGGGTGGTTCACCAGCTGATTCCCCAGCTCCAGAGCTTCCTCATGGCTGCAGCCACATGCTGCCATGGGCACTGCTGCTCCACCAACTCCTCCAGGAAAGCAATTTCATGGCACCAGGGAGTGCCACCACACAGCTGCCCAGCTGGGCTGTGCACACCAGGCACAGGGCTGAATTCACAGCCCACTTTGCATCCGTGGAGCTTCCGCACACCCACTGTAACCATCCTGTCCTGACACAGTGAGGAATCTCTCTTTACAAAGCACAGCCAAAAAACTGCTTCTTGCTACAGCTCCTGAGAATTATGCTATGATGATATTCCTCTGGGTTTTTTGTTTAATCCTCATCCAGATCTGAAAAAACAAGGAAATCTGAAGACAAAAAAACCTTAAGGTAAGATAGAATTAAGTACACATTCTTAATTTAAACAAAATGATGCTACAGGACTAAAAACTGTCTCCAATTACGAGCTTTACAAATATGAGGCACAGAGGTGAGCTGCAAAAGTGATAGCCAAATATGTCCAGATATGGAGATGCACAGTCAAGGCCCAGCAGCCCTAATGTTACTCTGGAGAGCCACAAAGCCTTAAAACTCAAATACAGCTCACAGTGTTTTAACATTTGTAATTCCACATTTGGTTCCATCATTTTTTAAAGACTCTTTGCCTCCATCTGCACATGTCCCCACAGCACAGAATAAAGGCACCCAAACAATCTCAGTGACATGCTTCTAAGCCTTCCTATGTTTGGATTTTTTCAATTACAAACCCGAAAGACGATGCAAACCCTATATCTGAAATTCCCTGGGTTTCAAATGCCTGATTTGGGATAATTACAATACCCCTGTAACACATCTGATACCCTCATATTGCTGTTCTGCGCTGTGTGCTTTCTGATGTAACTTCATGTTAACATAACATTTAGGATGGGAATTTAGCCTTAATTTAATGCTGACAGACTGCCATAAAAACCCAAGCTTAATCCCTTCCACTGTGGGATGTTGCATGTGCCTTGCATTGCTGCCTGCTGCCTCAACAGCTCTTCAGCTTCTTGGTCTTTCAAAGCATGAGAAGGAACTGAGAGACCAGAGAAAGGACACTTCGTTCAGGGAAGCAATTCCCTTCACATCCCATGGGAGGTGGGAGCAAAACTTTCCCAGTTTTGCCGCCTACAGCGCTCTCAGTGCTGCCTCCAGCAGGGAAGCCAAACGTGTCCCCCAGCGAAGATGGGCTGCTGCCTGCCAGGAGCTGTGCCTGCCAACCAGAAATGAAACCAGGCTGGGCTGGGCAGGCACAGCCAAACTGGGAATGCTCACACAGGCACTCAGTGAGAAACTGGGAGCATAAAGACACTGCAGGCATCCCAGGTCGCTCTGCCAGGCTGCTGGTGGGTGAGCAGAGGAAGTGAGGCTGCTAGCTCGTGGGGATGTTATTCATGTGCTTTGCAAAACAAATGCTCTATAGGTATTTCCACGGCCACACTGTCTGCCAGACGCTTCCTCCTCAACAAAGAGACGCTCTCCATGGAAACCTGGGCGGGTGGGATCCTCTGGAAGCCTCTCTGGCAGATGCATATTCAGGCATCTCACACCAGCCAGACAAGCCGGATCCACACCTCCCCTGGCAGGCAGCCGAGGAGATGCCAGCAGCCAGCCTGCTCTCTTGTTGGACCCTTCACAGGGCCCAGCCTCCTGCCCTGGGGCACCAAGCCCCAGTTCAGCACACTCATGTTGTGGCTCTGTGTCCCATGAGGTTCAGAGCCAGGACAGATGGAGACCTCAAAGCACCCAGCTGGCACGGATGGATGATCTCCTTCCAACAGCCAGCAGACAAGATGTCCCATTGCACCCTCCAGCCACTGTGCCTTGTGCAGCTCTGCTCACCATCTGACCCTGCTGTACTCTGCTGAGAGCCAGCCCATGCACCCCAGAACAAACATGCACCCAGCAAGCAGCATGAGAAACTTCTGCCTTCCTTTCTCCAGCTGAGCTCCAAACTTTTCCACCAGCTCAGGCTGGTGCTCAGCTCTCAGGCAGCAGCACCTGCCAGACCTGCTCCCCACCTGGCATCTTCTCTCCTCTGCTGGGCAGTAATGCCAGCTCTCACCCAGCCCCTTCCCACCCTGCCTACAACACTGCAGAAAGCCACAGGAAACCCTGGGGGGCAGAGAAGCTGCAGCACAACCGGACTGATGTGCTTGTGCAATCCCTCAAGATCATCCCTAAGGCTGCAGGTCCCACCCCAGGTTACCCATCCAGGCCACAGGCAGAGGTTTCCAGGTCCCACAGCACTGTGGGGGCATTTCCCAGGTCCATCACAGAGCTGGTGAACAGTGATAGATGGCTCACAGTTACACTGGAAGGGACATGTAGGGTTTCACAAAGGTCTGCCCTCCTGCTGCTGCTGCTCTGCTTTTCCATGAATGACCTAAATGACAGAGCAGAGTACATTTCAAAATCTGCACGTGACACCCCAGCACTTCAGAGGCCAGGATGGGAGTTTGACATGCTCCTGACAGACTGGGAAAAGGGCTGGGAGATGATGGGCAGGACTGTAAGGCATTGGGAGGCAAAACAACTGCACAAAGAGGCCACAGA